ATTTTATAGATAAAGGAACCAAGGCCCAGAGAATTTAAGTAATTTTGTATAAACCACATTTTTTCCCCTCCAAAGCTATGCTCTTCCATTGAATCTCATAAGTAGGACAGTCAACACTAAAACCTTAAGATAAGGAATTTACATAGTTTTTGAAATATGCTATATATATGTTGTCCAAATTCCTCTTTAGGATCCAAAGAACTATACCACTGGCCCACAGCCCTCAGCTTGTCTACTTCCTCATCTGAGGACAGCCATTGCACCCAAGGTCACACCATTTCTCCTGTGTCTTGTATTTAGTGCTTAGTGATTGACTGAACTGGGGATGTAAAGGCCTGGCTCCCTTAAAACTTCAGAATGCCCCCAAGGGTGGGCTTAGACATTGCTGTTGAACTCCCTCTGCCCGATCATGTTCTTGTCCCCACATGTATTGATTCTAAGTGCCTTCTATTACAAACCTTGTATTCTACTCTGCTTCCCAGGACACCTACCCTGTGATAATTACTAATTTAAAGTATTTAAGAAGATGATATTGTCGAAATAATAATAGATAAAATAATGCTTTTCTGTAAGCTGAAGTAGTGAGAACTCATCCAGTTCCAAAATTTTTTGAATCTTCGGTTTTACTAGTAATAAGGAAGGATAGAAAACATAAGAATATTCACATGGGAACAATTAAATTTTGCCAACTAAGATTTTTTTTCTTCAAATCTGAAAATTTTATAAAAACCAAGACATGGAGATAGTCTCATTGTTTACAAGAGATAAAAAGGATTAAAAAGCAGGCAAAAGAAAATGTAGTCATGTGTAACATAATGACATTTTGGTCAGTGATAGTCTGAGATCTTGTGGCCCAGAAGATCATGATGAAGATGAATAATTCGGATTGCCTAGTGACTTAGCCCTTGAAATGGAGCACACCCTATTACTTGTTTGTGGTGATGCTAGTGTAAACAAACCTACACTGCCAATTGTATAATAGTATACTCAATTATGCATACTACATAATACTTTATAATAAGCAACTTTGTTAGATTCGTTTTTACTTTTTTTTTTTTTAAAGAGAGAGTGAGAGGGGGACAGAGAGAGAGAGAGAGAGAGAGAATTTTAATGTTTTTATTTATTTTTTCTTAGTTCTCGGTGGACACAACATCTTCGTTTGTATGTGGTGCTGAGGATCGAACCCGGGCCGCACACACGCTAATCAAGCTCGCTACCGCTTGAGCCACATCCCCAGCCCTTGTTTTTACTTTCTATTGTTATTTTTTAGTATATTCCTTCTACTTGTTAAAAAAAAAAAAAGGCCACTATAAGACAATATGTCGGGTTAACACAGCAACCTCAAGTGCCTCATATTTACCTCCTTTCTTTCTCTTAAGTACATTAGCAAATATAGAAAACTCAGGAGC